ATGTGTTTGAATTTACTGAATATATTTACATTCAGTTTTTGAACAAATGACTGAGAGGTGGGTTAGAAATGTTTAGATTTTATTTGGCTTTCTGACTTTTCCACACTTGAGAAAGAGAACCAACCAAGCAACCAACAAAAACCAAAACCATTTCTAAGGTTATATAATTGCTGGATTTGTCTTACATACATTGAGAGGATGAACTAATGATAGTTGCTATAAAATATTGCAAAGCATTCACCCTGTATTGAATGTCACAAAGTGGTAGGGAAAAGTAATTACTGCAGTATTTCATGTTGAAACAAATGCAAGTAAAAGCAGATATTTAATTAACTTTTTAAATATTGTCCCAGAAGAAATTTTTATAGTGATTTCATGACTCCAAACATTTTAATATCAAGTACTTCCTGTAAGTCAAATTTTCCCCCAATTTAAGTTGGGCAATATGGAGATGAGTTGAATATAGCAGTGACTGCAAAATACTTCAGTGGACTTAGAAATAAAATTTCTGCTGCTAAAGAAAAGACTGAAAAGTACTAAGAATTCTTGAAGTATACAGAAAATGTATTCTACCTTCCTCAAACAACTAATTTTGAAATTATTCAAACATATTAGTGAGAAATGGACCAATCTTATGATATTTGCAAAGTGAGAAGTTAATAGTTGGTCTTAGCAAAAATAAAGCTGGTGTATAAACTTTAGTTCTTCCATCTTAATTCTTCTCTGACTATATGAGTAAGTATACAAACATTACATGAATGAGTATATGAATGAACATTATAGATAATTTGGAAAAGACAAAAATATCTTTTGCTGAAAAAATAATATAAATAATAATACAAATAATTCATTTCTCATTAGTTTATGCTGTGCTTTCACTGTGTCCTGTTTCTTTGTTTTCTTGAAGTTGTTATTTCTTTTTTGCTACGGATTACAGAAATACAGCCTTAGTACATTTATTTCCATTGCTTCTTTTTAAAAATGAATAAACAAACACTTAAGTCTATGACTTTATTGTGGATGTTGTGATCCTCATTGTCTGTTCCTAGGATATTGTGTAAAACACTATTTTTTTTGTATTTTACCTCATTTATTTTCACATAGCCTTTTAAAAATCACACATGGCTACAAACAAAAAATACAACATAGACATAGAATTTATTCCCAATAAACATAGATTCCACAAAAATAAAACAATTTTAAAAGGAGGCCATTCACGAGTTCCTACTATCTGATAAATACTATTCTCATTCCAGGGACATAAAATAAAATCTGTCTATAATTAATCTTGTGACATGAATGTGTGAGATTCTCCCCAACCCCTTCTCTCCAGGAATGAATCCAGGGCCTTAGCACTGCATCTCCATCCCTTTTTAAAATTTCTTTTTTTTTGAGACAGGGTCTTGCTAAATTACTCAAGCTGGGCTTCACCTTTTCATCCTTCTGCCTCAGCCTTCCAGACCAATTACACATATACACCATTGTGCCCAGTTATTTTCTTCCATTATTAAAGAATACATTTCCAAGCTAAATTACTAAAAGTAAGAAGTTAAATTAATGGCTTAATGCATCTATTCGCGTTTGTTAAACTTACCACAACATTTTCCAAAATGAGTTCTCCATGTGGGTCTGCCGTGTATTTTCCTAACAAGTTAGTTAGTAGAACATTGTTTTTCTTCCAGTTAATTGCTGGTGTGGGGATTCCATCAGCCACACATGGGAGAATGGCTTGTGAGTTCTCATTGACCGTATAGCGAGCTTCTGTGCTTCGGATCCTGGGTGGTACTATGAAGAGTTTTAAAAGGATAATCAACCATCTAGGAAGCTGAGTTCAATAATGTCTTTATTCACATTGAAAATTAACACAGAAAATGATAATTTTGCTAGAAATACAAAAAATATTAATATATTGATTTACTTGCTATAAAGGCAATCAGAACAGTGGACCTTCAAGTTATGAACAGCCTGACATACGAACAACTTGGGTTAATTAGGTTAATGGAAGATTCATCTGCCTCTTGTTATCTATAGCATGTACTCAGGTAAACATCCAGATCTCAGCTGTATTGACTTACAACCAACTTGAGTTACAACCAGCCCTTGGGAATTGAGTTTGTAAGTCAATGATCCGCTTTATTTTCAATGTTGAAAAGAATTTGAATGTGTTTGAATTTACT